TAGCAATTAGTGTTACCTTACCAAGCAATTGAACAGGGGGACCTGATAAAGTGGCTGGTGAGTGTATTTGGAATTAATTTCATCACATGGACTATTGAGTTGACTATTTATTTATTACACCAGCACATGTGGTTTAGAGGAGATTGCAGCGCCGAGTCATTTATTTATTTTTTTATATCTCTTTGGATTTAGATACCCTGTAAGGTGGTTGTGACGGGAGTGACTTTGGGGGGTGAGGAGACTCCTGTCCCAGCCCCCCAAATCCCTATTATGTGTAAGTCACCCTGTGCCTGTTAGGGGTACAGGGTGATCTGTCCTGCTATTGTGTAGGCATGTATAGGTGGGGTATGGAGGTTGTTCATTGTTTAATGATATGTGGTTGTCCCATTGTTCTATTATGTGTCTTGCTTGAGAGCAAACTATTATGGGATGTATGGGTTTGTGTATTGTCTACTGTCCCATGGTGTATCCCATTGTTCACTGCCATGCGGCTGCATCCCATTATGCTAGCAAACTATTATGGGATGTAATGTTTCCGGCAGCCCTTCCCCCTGATGGGACGGCCTGCTGATGTGTTTCCTGTCTGGGTGTGTATTTCCCCGCCCTGTGTATATATCTTGTATCTATGTTAAAATAAAGCAGTCCATTTCCTGTCTTTCATACAAGTCTGGTGCTGTCTAGTCTTGTATGGTCAGCGGTGGTGTCCGTGGACCTGTGTTCGGACAGGGAAGTGGGAGTAAAACGGAAATACCACAGTGCAGTCTGGGTTCGGTTACGTTACCGTGGTTTTTGAAGGATGAGGGGCTTTAAATGTCTCTTGAGAGTTACAAAAGCTCCTTTCGCCTATCCTTGAACTGCTATTGTGTCAAAAGGGCTCCTCATCAGCTGGGAACATGTCTTTAGATATTGAGGAACAGTCCTCATGCTGGATCGTATGGATTATTTCTACTAGATTTCTAAGAAGGTGTAATTTTGCTGTGAAATCATTTTCTTTGAGATAAATCCACTCATACCTTCTAAGCCTGATATTGGTTGGGTTCCCCACCATGGCATGACAGATGTGATACTAGTTCCACCAATCTCTGAGAACACCAAATATCAGCACAAGAGCAATGACCATGAAGAGACTTCAGTGTTCCAAATATACCTTTGGAAATTAGCTCTGTGGACAAGTGAGCCACCGGATTTGCTGCCATATGACACCAGCCTGGAGTGAACTGCCATGTGACTCCGGAGTAAAAATTGCCTTGACGTGGGAGTGAACAACACAGCTTTGGTATTAGGGGGAGGAATAGTACCCCATCATTGGTATTAGGGAGAGGAATAGTGCCTCATCGTTGGTGACAGTGGGAGGAATAGTGCCTGAACATTGGTGTCAGGTGGGGAAATATGCCTGAACGTTGGTGACAGTGGGAGGAATAGTGCCCCATCCTTGGTGTCAGTGGAAGGAATAGTGCCCCATCAGTGCCAGTTGAAGGCATAGTGCCTCATCGTTGGTGGCAGTTGAAGGCATAGTGCCTCATCGTTGATGTCAGTGGAAGGAATAGTTCTTCATCATTGGTGTCAGTGGGAGGAATAGTGCCCCATCATTGGTGTCAGTTGGAGGAATAGTGCCTCATCGTTGATGTCAGTGGAAGGAATAGTGCCTCATCGTTGGTGTCAGTGGAAGGAAAAGTGCCCCATCCTTGGTTTCAGTGGAAGGAATAGTGCCTCATCGTTGGAAGGGTGTCCAGTCAGTGGAAGGAATAGTGCCCCATCCTTGGTTTCAGTGGAAGGAATAGTGCCCCTTTGTTGGTGTCAGGTTGAAGTATAGTGCCCCATTATTTATGTCAGTGGGAGAAATAGTGCCCAATTGCTATCAGTAGCAAATTATGCAACATTGTTGGTGTCAATGGGAGGAATAGTGTCTTGTATCAGTGAGAGGAAAAGTGCCCCATGGCCATATAAAGGGAAGCAAAGGGCCGCAGTTTGGAGACAACTGTTCTATTACATATTTAGCAGGACAATCCTCTGACCATATTACCACCTATCAGATCACAGAGCTTCCTGTATTTGCTTTTATTCCTGTGGGGTAAAAACTTTACCTGGGCAGAACAAACTACAAAGTACTAAAGAGGACCTGTACTACTTCAATGGAAAAGTCACTTTTTATTAATAGAATTCGGGCCGCTTCCATAGATGGTCATTTGATCAGTGCCACGGCATTGGTCACATGTTAGAAGAAGCTACATATCAGATATCTGGTTGGAGGCTAAAGTGATAAGAGGGCTTCCCTTACACCTCTGGTTCAAACACCCCTGGAACATTAACAGAGAACACAAAGGCCCAGGGTGGCAGGGGTGCTAAGACTCCAGTCTATGGGTGCTCACTTCTGGTGGGGATGACTCGTCAGAAGGGTACTCACGCAGAAAGCAGAGATCACTGAGGAACCCGGGTGAGGGTGCCACTGAGGAACAGACTAAAAAAGCAGCTGGTAGGAACGCCAGAAAGGCAGATAGTAGGCAGGGTGGACTGTAAAATCATCATCAGGAGGCAGGTCAAGGTCACACCAGAAAGTGGTCAGAAAACATGCCATGGTCACACCAGGAAGTCAACAGAATTGTAGTAAGGAGGCAGACCAAGGTCACACCTGGAAGTTAGCAGAATTGTGATAAGGAGGCAGGAATAGGTCACATGGGGAGATAAGCAGAATTGTGGTACGGAGGCAGGCCAAGGTCACATGGGGAATTCAGGAGAATCATGGGAAAGATGCAGGTCGAGGTCACAACAGAAAGTCAGCAGAATCATGGTCAGGAGGCAAGCTGAGGTCATAGTAGAGGGTCAGCAGAGATAAGCTGTGGTCAGGAACTAGCCGAGGTCAAACTGGGAAGTCAGCAGAATAGCGGTAAGGAGGTAGGCTGAGAACACTGAAAGTCAGCAAAATCATGGTCAAGAGGCGGGTTGACGTAGCGTTGGGAAGTTTACAGAATTGCGGTCAGGCCGGCTGAGGCCGGCTGATTGGTCACACCAGGAAGGAAGGCAGCAGAATTGTGGTAAGGAGGCAGGCCAGGGTCACACCAGGAAGGCAACAAAATTGTGGTAAGAAGGTAGGCTGAGATCACGCTGGGACATCAGGAGAATCATGGTAAGAAGGCAGGCCAAGGTCACACCAGAATGTCAGCAGAATTGTGGTCAGGAGGCAGACTGAGATCACACTGGAACGTCAGGAGAATCATGGTAAGAAGGCAGGCCAGGGTCACACCAGAAAGTCAGAATAATTGTGGTCAGGAGGCAGGCCGAGGTCACACTAAGAAGTCAGAATAATTGTGGTCAGGAGGCGGGCCAAGGTCACACTAGGAGTCAAAATAATTGTGGTCAGGAGGCAGGCCGAGGTCACACTAGGAAATCAGCAGAATCATAGTCAGGAGGAAAGCTGAGGTCACACCAGAGTGTAAGCAGAGATAAGCTGTGGTCAGGAGGTCAAACTGGGAAGTCAGCATAATAGCAGTAGGGAGGTAGGCTGAGGTAACACAGGAAGTCAGCAAAATCGTGGTCAGGAGCTGGGTTGAAGTCACACTGGGAAGTCTACAGAATCGTGGTCAGGAGGCAGGCCAAGGTGACACCAGGAAGTCAGTATAATTGTGGTCAGGAGGCAGACTGAGGTCAAATAGGGAAGTCAACAGAATCGTGGTCAGTAGGTGGGTTGAAGTCACACTGGAAAGTCTACAGAATCATGGTCAGGAGGCAGGCCGAGGTCACACCAGGCATTCAGCATAATCGTGGTCAGAAGGCAGGCCGAGGTCAAATAGGGAAGTCAACAGAATCGTGGTCAGGAGACAATTTGACGTCGCTCCAGATATAAGCCATGGCCTGGGACCAGTTGAGCTCAAACTAGGAGTCAGCAGAGATCAGCCATAGTCAGGGACTATCTGAGGTCAATAACAAGGCATGCAGAGTCCAGGGGCAGGACAGGCCAGCAAAGGGAAAGCAGATCTCAGGAACAGGTTCAGGGTTCAAGTTGATGATCATCCACCAACTACCTGGCTCAGCTTTGTTCCTTTAAAAAGCCATCTGGTGCCAAGATGGGAGTGTGTGCCCATGCTCCTGTACCTGGGTGTATTAGTGCGCCCACATTAAATAACATGCTCATGCACATGTAGCAGGCTGGAGGAGACCCTTGCCCTGTGAGCTGGTGCACGTTACCTTCTGATGCCTTCCTGACACACCAGCATGGCAGAAGCTTGGATTTCCATTATGCGAAGGTTAGTATTCCACGGCCTCATCCATAAATGTGTAGAAAGACGTAGAATTGTTACAATCGCTTATAATGGCGTTTAGTGTTGGGAAAAGGTCGCCGTTAACTCCAAGTGAACCCGAATCCACAGAGAAGCCTATTATATGGCGATGTTTATCCCTCCATGTGATACGTCTCTTACCTCCGCCAGCCGCACGGCGCCTGCAGATGCTAATTAAGAGGTTTTAACATCCACCATGAGGGGCTTGTAAAGCCAATATTAACACACATCTGAGATGGTGAATCTACTGAGCTGAGTAATATTCTGCACATGTCATATCTGCCGGCTGTACGGCGAACAAAGGGACCGGAACCGCCAAAGCTGGAGGAAAGCTCTACGCAGCGCGAGGGGGGGAGAGCTGAAACCAGGCTAAGGATGCCGGAATCTGCGGATTCTATTCATTCCACAATGTGGATGTGAGCTGATCCATTGTATTCCTCCATCATTCCCAGTATTCACATAGGACTTCCCCCTACTGAACATGCAGAAGGCCGGGCCACAGGGGACAAGACATTATTTATTGGTCAAATGGAGAAAACGAACAGAAACGGAGAATGTGTCTGAATATCACTCCAGTTTAAATCCAACCTCCAGCCTCCCCCTCCAGTCTTATGCAGGTGTACCGGCTCCTCCCCTTCAGTCTTGCACAGGTGTACCGGCTCCTCCCCTTCAGTCTAGCACAGGTGTACCGGCTCCTCCCCTCCAGTCTTGTGTAGGTGTACCGGCTCCTCCCCTCCAGTCTTGTGTAGGTGTACCGGCTCCACCCCTCCAGTCTTGTGTAGGTGTACCTGCTCCTCCCCTCCAGTCTTGCACAGGTGTACCAGCTCCTCCCCTCCAGTCTTGCGCAGGTGTAACGGCTCCTCCCCTTCAGTCTTATGCAAGTGTACCGGCTCCTCCCCTTCAATCTTGCACAGGTGTACCGGCTCTTCCCCTTCAGTCTTATGCAGGTGTATCGGTTCCTCCCCTTCAGTCTTGCACAGGTGTATGGCTCCTCCCCTTCAGTCTTGCACAGGTGTACTGGCTCCTCCCCTTCAGTCTTGCACAGGTGTACTGGCTCCTCCCTTCAGTCTTGCACAGATGTAGCGGCTCCTCCCCTTCAGTCTTGCACAGGTGTATGGCTCCTCCCCATCAGTCTTGCACAGGTGTACTGGCTCCTCCCCATCAGTCTTGCACAGGTGTACTGGCTCCTCCCCTTCAGTCTTGCACAGGTGTACTGGCTCCTCCCCTTCAGTCTTGCACAGATGTAGCGGCTCCTCCCCTTCAGTCTTGCATAGGCGTACCGGCTGCTCCCCTTCAGTCTTGCACAGGTGTGCCGGCTCCTCCCCTTCAGTCTTGCACAGGTGTACTGGCTCCTCCCCTTCAGTCTTGCATAGGTGTACCGACTCCTCCCCTTCAGTCTTGCATAGGTGTAGCGGCTCCTCCCCTTCAGTCTTGCATAGGTGTACCCAGGGGCGGACTGACCATTTGGGAACTCGGGCAGTGCCCGAGGGCCCTGACCCAGTAGGGGGCCCCATGAGATGCCCCTGGTACCTTTCATAGCCTTTTTTGGGGTGTGGTTTGAGTGTGGGCGAGGACACAGGGACCCCATGATCCACTATTGTCGGGGGGCCCCATGACTTGTCAATCCAATCCACTGACTCCTCCCCTTCAGTCTTGCACAGGTGCTGTACCAGTTCCTCCCCTGGACTGGACGGCTTCCTCTGATGTCACTGCACACTCGGAGCTTCTCACAATGTGCATTAGAAGCTGCAGGAAGTCAGAGCTCCACCTCATTTCCTGGCTAGAGGACACCCAGCATCATCTAGGTCATTCCTCCTCAGCCTGACCATTCCTGCCCCTTTCATTCATTGGATTTCAGTTCTTTTAATAATGGAGGTTCAGCAACACAAGTGGGTGGTCTGCATGCAAATGCTGCCTACCTAGAAACGGCCACGCCTCCAGATTGCCACCTATCAGGGGATTGTGATATTTGTATAACTCCTCCCACTGCTTGCATCAGGACTGAGGGCTCTTGGGATAAGTACTGAGGCAAGGTGATGAAATGTTTTCAGGCCACTGTGTACAGCACCCTGCTGGCCCCTCCAACCAGCCATGATCTACCTGTGTTACATAGAGAAGCACAGAGACCTAGAGGTCATAACTGTCTGGGGTCTCATTTATGACCATAGTGAGACCCCACGTTTTAGTTTTGCATGAAGTGGAGACGGGTTGGACGCAGGAACAAGGGAAGGAGAGAAACGTTTAATATCTGCTTCTTCTTCTCCATTAGCCTGGAGTACTTCTGTAGGACCCCCATAGCCTGGAGTACTTCTGTAGGACCCCCATAGCCTGGAGTACTTCTGTAGGACCCCCATAGACTCTCTATGGATGGCAGGTTGTGGGGTTTTTCATATGAATTAGTATGTTGTCGCGTCTCGCAGATAAGAGTCGCAGCGGAGGCCGAGGTGACGGCGCCGCGCGCAGTGGCCTGATAAAGGGAGATGGTGCGTCTTCTAGACAGGTTCACATCCAGTCAGGATATTAAATCTGGATAATGTGACACATGTAGGATGGAAGCACCAATGTCTGCCCATCTCCAGTTCTAGATGTAGAATCACCCGGAGATTGCCGAATCTTTCTCTTCTAATATTCTGTATCATCTGATGAATAGGTGATGGCGCGACGCGCGTCTGCTGATCGCCCGTTCAGAGTCTGGCTACCATTGTGAATGAATTCATCAAATGACGGCAGCTGATGAGGGACACAATGGCCCTACAGGCCGGAGCTGGATGAATGGCGTCAGATCACCTGACATCTAGAGGCGCTGGCATGGCGGCCTATGGCACAGCTGGTACAGGAAAGGGCGGAGTTGCTGCTATTACTGCATATCATTGGGTGACACCAGATAGGTCATGTGATCGTGCTGATGGCCATGGCAGAAAAGTAAGTTGGGTGTGCATGACAGATGGCATACTGGTACCCATGGTGGAAGTGTCAGTGTGTCATTGTTCTGGGACCCCCAAGTGTCAGTGTGTCATTGTTCTGGGACCCCAAGTGTCAGGGTGTCATTGTTCTGAGACCCCCAAGTGTCAGTGTGTCATTGTCTTGAGACCCCCAAATGTCGATGTGTCATTGTTCTGGGACCCCCAAGTGTCAGTGTGTCATTGTTCTGGGGACCCCCAAGTGTCAGTGTTTTATTGTTTTGGGACCCCCAAGTGTCAGTGTGTCATTATTCAGGACCCCCAAGTGTCAGGGTGTCATTGTTGTGGGACCCCCAAATGTCAGTGTGTCATTGTCCTGAGACCCCCAAGTGTCAGTGTGTCATTGTCCTGAGACCCCAAGTGTCAGGGTGTCATTGTTCTGGGACCCCAAGTGTCAGGGTGTCATTGTTGTGGGACCCCCCCAAGTGTCGGTGTGTCATTGTTCTGGGACCCCCAAGTGTCAGTGTGTCATTGTTCTGGGACCCCCAAGTGTCAGTGTGTCATTGTTTTGGGACCCCCAAATGTCAGTGTGTCATTGTCCTGAGACACCCAAGTGTCAGTGTGTCATTGTCCTGAGACCCCCAAGTGTCAGGGTGTCATTGTTCTGGGACCCCAAGTGTCAGGGTGTCATTGTTGTGGGACCCCCCAAGTGTCGGTGTGTCATTGTTCTGGACCCCCAAGTGTCGATGTTTAATTGTTCTGGGGCCCCCAAGTGTCAGTGTGTCTTTGTTCTGGACCCCCAAGTGTCAGTGTGTCATTGTTCTGGGACCCTCAAGTGTCAGGGTGTCATTGTTCTGAGACCCCCCAAGTGTCAGTGTGTCATTGTCTTGAGACCCCCAAGTGTCGATGTGTCATTGTTCTGGGACCCCCAAGTGTCAGTGTGTCATTGTTCTGGGACCCCAAGTGTCAGTGTGTCATTGTTTTGGGACCCCCAAGTGTCAGTCTGTCATTGTCCTGAGACCCCCAAGTGTCAGTGTGTCATTGTCCTGAGACCCCCAAGTGTCAGGGTGTCATTGTTGTGGGACCCCAAGTGTCAGGGTGTCATTGTTGTGGGACCCCCCCAAGTGTCGGTGTGTCATTGTTCTGGACCCCCAAGTGTCGATGTTTAATTGTTCTGGGGCCCCCAAGTGTCAGTGTGTCTTTGTTCTGGACCCCCAAGTGTCAGTGTATCATTGTCCTGAGACCCTCAAGTGTAAGGGTGTCATTGTTCTGGGACCCCCCAAGTGTCAGTGTGTCATTGTTCTGGACCCCCAAGGGTTGGTGTGTGTCATTTTTTTCTGGGCCCCAAAGTGTCAGGGTGTCATTGTTCTGGGACCCCCAAGTGTCAGTGTGTCATTGTTCTGGGACCCCCAAGTGTCAGTGTGTCATTGTTCTGAGACCCCAAGTGTCAGTGTGTTATTGTTCTGGGACCCCCAAGGGTTGGTGTGTCATTGTCTGAGACCCCCAAGTGTCAGGGTGTCATTGTTTCTGATGTTCATTGGACCCCCCCAAGTGTCAGGGTGTCATTGTTGTGGGACCCCCCCAAGTGTCGGTGTGTCATTGTTCTGGACCCCCAAGTGTCGATGTTTAATTGTTCTGGGGACCCCCCAAGTGTCAGTGTGTCTTTGTTCTGGACCCCCAAGTGTCAGTGTATCATTGTCCTGAGACCCTCAAGTGTCAGGGTGTCATTGTTCTGGGACCCCCCAAGTGTCAGTGTGTCCTTGTTCTGGACCCCCAAGGGTTGGTTGTGTCATTTTTCTGGGCCCCCAAGTGTCAGGGTGTCATTGTTCTGGGACCCCCACCTCCCAATCAGGTGTCATTGTTTGTTCTGGGAGACCCCCAAGTGTCAGTGTGTCATTGTTCTGGGACCCCCAAGTGTCAGTGTGTCATTGTTCTGGACCCCCAAGGTCAGGTGTGTCATTTTTCTGGGCCCCCAAGTGTCAGGGTGTCATTGTTCTGGGACCCCCAAGTGTCAGTGTGTCATTGTTCTGGGACCCCCAAGTGTCAGTGTGTCATTGTTCTGAGACCCCAAGTGTCAGTGTGTTATTGTTCTGGGACCCCCAAGTGTCAGTGTGTCATTGTTCTGTGTCATTGTTCTGGGACCCCCAAGTGTCAGTGTGTCATTGTTCTGAGACCCCCAAGTGTCAGTGTGTCATTGTCCTTGGACCCCCAAGTACGATTTCTTCTGCGCTCTAGGACCCAGGCGGGTGGTAAATAGGTGGAACCAGAACTGGAAAAACATCGACCCACCAGTGCATCCAAGGTTGTGCGGCTCCAAACAAGGCTGGGGAAGCCCGACAACACCAACACTACAAAGCGAAATAAAACGAGAAGCGCACAAACCTTGCGCATTACCTCAGTAAACAAAAATTTTTAAATAAAAAAGGTACTCACAAACAGCGTATAAAATCAGGCATGTAAGTCCTCACAGGGACTTCAGAGATAGAGAGCCAGTGCGAGTCCCATCGTGGGGTAAGCACAGTTCAACTGACGCGTTTCGAAGGCCAAACCTTCAGCTCTGATGAAGAAGGTTTAGCCTTCGAAACGCATCAGCTGTACTGAGTGCTTACCCCCACGATGGGACTCGCGCTGGCTCTCTATCTCTGAAGTCCCTGTGAGGACTTACATGCCTGATTTTATTCGCTGTTTGTGAGTACCTTTTTTATTAAAAAATCTTGGACCCCCAAGTGTCAGGATGTCATTGTCCTGAGACCCCCAAGTGTCAGTGTGTCATTATTCAGTGTCCAGTGTGTCATTGTTCTGGGACCCCCGAGTGTCAGCGTGTCATTGTTCTGGGACCCCCGAGTGTCAGCGTGTCATTGTTCTGGACCCCCCCGAGTGTCAGCGTGTCATTGTTCTGGGACCCCCGAGTGTCAGTGTGTCATTGTTCTGGGACCCCCGAGTGTCAGTGTGTCATTGTTCTGGGGACCCCCAGAGTGTCATTGTTTCTGGGACCCCGAGTGTCAGCGTGTCATTGTTCTGGGACCCCGAGTGTCAGCGTGTCATTGTTCTGGGACCCCCCGAGTGTGTCAGCGTGTCAGTGTGTCATTGTTCTGGGACCCCTGAGTGTCAGTGTGTCATTGTTCTGGGGACCCCCGAGTGTCAGTGTGTCATTGTTCTGGGACCCCCGAGTGTCAGTGTGTCATTGTTCTGGGACCCCCGAGTGTCAGGGTGTCATTGTTCTGGGACCCCCCGAGTGTCAGTGTGTCATTGTTCTGGGACCCCCGAGTGTCAGTGTGTCATTGTTCTGGGACCCCCGAGTGTCAGCGTGTCATTGTTCTGGGAGTGTTGTCATTGTTCCCCGAGTGTCAGTGTGTCATTGTTCTGGGAACCCCGAGTGTCAGCGTGTCATTGTTCTGGGACCCCCGAGTGTCAGCGTGTCATTGTTCTGGGACCCCCGAGTGTCAGTGTGTCATTGTTCTGGGACCCCCGAGTGTCAGTGTGTCATTGTTCTGGACCCCCGAGTGTCAGTGTGTCATTGTTCTGGGACCCCCGAGTGTCAGCGTGTCATTGTTCTTGGGACCCCCGAGTGTCAGCGTGTCATTGTTCTGCGACCCTCTGCTGGTGATCTGGAACATCGCTCTCCCTGTTACACTTCAGGATGTTATGTATTTGTTCTTCAATTTTCTTGTTTTGTACACATAGCAGACAGATGACAATGTATCTGATGATTATTAGAAGTGGTGGGATATGAGGAGTGGAATGGATCGGACTGACCCTCGGCACACACACAGCTCTCTGATTACTCATCTGAACACTTTATTATCCACATTTACATGAGAAAAACAGCGGCTGAGCCGGAGAGAAACAGAGAAATGTATCTGAGAATGCGCAGTACCATGTGTTCACCTCCTCCCTCCTGCACCCCATGACAGCCCCGCCTCATTACTGACAACCCCCGCCTCATTACTGACAGCCCGCCTCATTACTGAAAGCCCCACCTCATTACTAACAGGCCCGCCTCATTATTGGCAGCCCCGCCTCATTGGCAGTCCCGCCTCATTACTGACAATTCCCCCCATTACTGAAATCAGCCCACCCTGCTACTGAATGTTCCCAACTCATTACTGAAAGCTCTACTTCACTTATTACTGACAACTCTACCCCATTACTGGACAGCCTCACCCCATTACTGGCAGCCTGGGACTATTATTACTGACAGCTCTACCTCATTACTGACAGCCGTAACTTATTTTCCAAGAGGCCCGCCCCATTACTGACAGCCCGCCCCATTGCCGGCAGCCCTGCTCAATTACTGACAACCCTACCATATTAGGGTCAGCTTTGCCTCATTACTGACCACTCTGCCCCATTACTAGCAGTCCTGACTTATTACTGAAAGCCTGCCCATTACTGACAGCTCTACCTCATTACTGACAGCCCTGACTTATTTCCAAGAGACCTGCCCCCATTACCGGCAGCCCCGCCCCATTACCGGCAGCCCCGCCCCATTACCGGCAGCTCTGACTCAGTAGACAGCTGCGCTCCATTAGTGATAGCCTTGCCCCATTACCAGCAGCTTCTCCCCTCTACTTACAGCCCACCTTATTATTGATATTCCTGCCCCAGTACTGACAGTCCTTCCCGCCCCCATTACTGACCCCAGTCCCGCCCCATTACTGACAGTCCCTCCCCATTACTGACAGTCCCACCCCATTACCAACAGTCCCACCCCATTACCGACAGTCCCGCCCCATTACTGACAGTCCCTCCCCATTACTGACAGTCCCTCACTCCATTACTGACAGTCCCGCCCCATTACCGACAGTCCCTCCCCATTACTGACAGTCCCTCCCCATTACTGACAGTCACACCCCATTACTGACAGTCCCACCCAATTACTGACAGCTTCTTTTCATTACTGACAACTCCTTCTCATTGCTGACAGTCCCACCATATTACTGACATCCCTTCTCATTGCTGACAGTCCCCCATATTACTGACATCCCTTCTCATTGCTGACAGTCCCACCATATTACTGACAACCCTTCTCATTACTGACAGTCCCACCATTACTGACATCCCCTTCTCATTACTGACAGTCCCACCATATTACTGACATCCCCTTCTCATTGCTGACAGTCCCACCATATTACTGACATCCCCTTCTCATTGCTGACAGTCCCACCCTATTACTGACATCCCCTTCTCATTACTGACAGTCCCACCATATTACTGACATCCCCTTCTCATTGCTGACAGTCCCACCCTATTACTGACAACCCCTTCTCATTGCTGACAGTCCCACCATATTACTGACAACCCCTTCTCATTGCTGACAGTCCCACCATATTACTGACATCCCCTTCTCATTGCTGACAGTCCCACCATATTACTGACATCCCCTTCTCATTGCTGACAGTCCCACCATATTACTGACAACCCCTTCTCATTACTG